CCGGTTTTTTTTTTTTTTTTTTTTTTTACTTATCAGTTGATACAACCAGGCTGGTGGACCCAAAAGCAGAGACAGGAGAGGACGTCGGGTTAAGGTTAAGGTTGAACTATTGATCCCGTACTGGGGAAATTGTTGTGTTGCAGCAGCGTAGGGAACAAAAGGAATTTACAAATTACAACACAAAAACAACTACATTTAGAAAGATCTAGAAGAGTTCAAAATATAAAGTGCAGGAAAAATATGAATATGATACGTGATCATTTGACTGTTATTGCACTCTGCCCCCACTCAAGCCAAGAACTTGAAATATCTTTGTCTAGTAGTGATGGAAAACGAATACCGGTTGTTACTTTTTTTTTTTTTTTTACTTATCAGTTGATACAACCAGGCTGGTGGACCCAAAAGCAGAGACAGGAGAGGACGTCGGGTTAAGGTTAAGGTTGAACTATTGATCCCGTACTGGGGAAATTGTTGTGTTGCAGCAGCGTAGGGAACAAAAGGAATTTACAAATTACAACACAAAAACAACTACATTTAGAAAGATCTAGAAGAGTTCAAAATATAAAGTGCAGGAAAAATATGAATATGATACGTGATCATTTGACTGTTATTGCACTCAAACTTGTAATACCAGAATGTAGTATGATAAGGAGAATGCTAAGAGCACCTCAGTGGTAACTTGGCAGCTTGTGGACTGAACCTGAAACCTTCCGGACCCAGGTCTGCCTTAACCACTAAGCCACCACTGCCCCTGTATAAGTACACCTTATGTAATGTTTTGCTGAAAGAAGATTTCAACAAATAAGATTGGAATTTTTTTTTTTTCTACAGGATATGGCCTAAAAATTGCCTTTTTTTTTACCACATGTTAATACTTTTAATCACTGTCTTTTCGAACTAAGGTACCACACTTGAGCCTGAGAAGGTTGCCAGTCTCCCATACCAATAAGTGGCGTCCTGCTAGTGTGAGGCTTCTACATCAACAGCCTGAGGCCACACTCCAGCAGGATACCTGGCCACTTTGCTGGTGATTGATGAACATCAAAAACAGCCAATGTGCTGACGTGGCCTTTTGGATTTTCTGTTGACATGCAAACACTTTAATGTGATACATTGAGAAATTTGCGAAATGCGGAGGAAGCAGGAACAGTGTATTACCATCAGAAAAGCACTTAGGGACCAGGGAACATTTTTATTAGTGACAATGTTGGTGGCCTTGCACTGACTACTTGTGTATATTTTTATGAAGTGGACTGTCAGCAGAGGTCTGTTCACTGTGTCCTTTACCTTGGTTCAGTATGGGATCTAGCAGTTGTTATTGTATTATTCTTCCTGCAAGTGTCAGCCTGTGGAGCTTAAAATGAATAAATCATCTTTCCACTTATGTTTACTTAACCACGTATCTATTATACTACTACAAAAATTATATGTAACCCTTTTAAAAATCATCATAATCAAAACTAGGTTAAAAGTAGGAATGTCCGATCGATATTATCGGCCTGATATTAGCATAATTATGTAATATCTGTAAGAATCATTCATCATCATTTTTTCCTCCGATAATGAAAACCCGATAACGCAATGCCTGGGTTTTGCTGAAACTGATATGTCCCCTAAAAATAGTTTTAGGGATGTAACGGCTGTCTATTAAAGTGAAAGTCACTAGATGGCAGCATTGCAGCTTACTTAATTGTCGCATTTAGTTATCTGTACAGTGGTTTGTACAGATAAATAAATAAATATTACCAGGCCTATATTGGTATCGGTTGATATCAGAATCGGAAATTAAGTGTTTGGACAATATTGGCATATCGGCAAATAGTTAATACTATAAAATGATGTGAATGTGTGACCTACGTTGGAGTTCATGTGAAGCAACTATTTTATTTTGATTATAATCAGGTTGACGTGAGGTGCTGTATTACACAGAAAATAGAAGTGTTTTTTTGGCTGGCGAAAAGGTTTTCATTTCCCTTTGCCTTTGTGCTTAAAAAAAAACACCTGAACACCTAGCGTGTTGTTGTGGAGTCTTCAGATTCTGAGCTTGTATCGGTAATTCTGGGGCTGACAACCTGACCGTTATGAAAGCAATCCTAGACTGGTTCTAAATGCCAAGGTCAAGGGCTGTAAAAATCATAGACCCATCGGGGGTGTCCTGTACAGCAAAAGTACTGTGCAACTGAAATCAAGCTTGTTGCTGTTTAGAAGCACAGCAGTTAATACCAGTATCATCTGCATATAAGTGAATACTGACAGGGAAAACAATGGCAGATTTGCCATGTGTGTGAGGTACGCAGTTTGTGAACCAAAATAATTACATTTATTAGTTAAATGTATGTGTGTGTTGCTGTGGCGATGCAAGTACAAAAATCTGAACGATACATAGATGATTATCATGCCTGTGCAAGGATGACACACAAATTTCGTGAAGCATTCCTCATTTTAGTGAGGAGTTCCTGAGTTATCAGTTATCACGCCTGCTTTACACATCTGCCTTACATTCACAAGGTCCTGAGTTCGAGCCCCAGAGTACATACATACAGTACTTAATGGCACCTCCAGTACCACATACTGAATGTTGCGTCATGTGGCACCCTGTGTAGGTTGCAAAGAATCACACTGTGGGGCAAAATAAGCAACTTCAATTTGATTTAAGTTATCTGTTTAAAAAAACAAACAAACATTAATAAGTTAAATTACTATTATCCAGGGGCAGGAAATTCATGAGTTTTCTTGACCATATTTTGGCTATACTGCCAATGAGAACCTCTAAATGAAGTATCAAATACACAGGCACATTGAATAGTGTTATTTTTCTCCTGTGATTTTAACGAAACATTGTTCAAGCATCATTACCTCCTCCTTGAAACATAGATTTGAACATCAACTTCCTGAACAGCGTGTCATAAAAAACGCGTGTCCTGTAACATTACTCTGTGCCCACAAATTTATATGCAAAGAAATGAAGCACTTTAAAAGCAGCACGCCTGCTAAATCGGTGGGAGTTCTCTTCCAGCAGGAGGCAACAACAACTTAAACAAAACTCACAGCAAAGAAATGTACAATTATCACCAGCGGTGAGATAAAAACTATAATATAGTTCACCTCCTGTTGGCCGCTCCGCCGTTAACTCTTCTTCAGTTCAACGTGGTTCTCTTCAAGCTATTGTAAGTCCATGTATTTTACTTCGATGTGTGGGGATAAAGCCTTATGTAATCACAATTGAAAGCAGTATATGTGAACAGCCTTCAAGTGGGAAGTATAAACATATTTATGTTCCGTCCTGGCTGCGATTCAAGGACCTTGGTTCTTATCTTTATTCATGCCGGTCCAATTTGCATTACTTCCAGCTCTTCCACGTACACAGTATCTCTGCAGCAAATGGCTTCGTCTGACCCAATAAAATAAAATATTCACTTCTCACTTGAATAAATATTTGTAACTTTAAGAGCTCCTTCATGTTCTAGTCTATTGATTATAAAGTTTGGGCCATACAGCCAACGGCTTTACGATGGCCAGTGTTATTGTCTGTCAATTAAACGTACAACCGTTTACCATTGGCCAATCAAATAACAGCACGATTTTATATGGGGAAACACGAACAAAGGTTTTTTTTTTTTTGCATTTTTTTCTCGTCTTCCCACGCACCTGACTATTAAAATAAAATTGCAGTTTTGTGTAAAGAGATATTTTGAGAAGTTTACCTCACAAAGGGGTTAACTGCATAAACAACCCCTCACGTAATTAGCAACACAGGCGAGTAATGTGGGGGGTCTACCTGGATAAATCACTCGATTGCTATTGTTCGCTCGGTTTTTTTGTTCTTGTCTCCATCAAAGCAGGCTAGAAATCTTTAAGGTCTCTAAACTAACAGATAAGGATCCTGTGTCAAGTCAAGTCACTTACTTTGTACAAATACGTCATCACGCGGTGTGGAAGGCGTCTTTGTTTACATTCCGCAGTTGTACGCCGTACATTGGATTGTGCTACAGTGGCTTTCTTTTGTTTGGGTTTGGGTTGTTTTTGGGAAAGTTTTGTCTTATATTATGGCTCCCAGACGTAAGTCAGGCTCTTCTGACATTTTTATCTCTTATACTATGATGTTACCGCTGTGTGAGTTTTGACTTACAGCAAAAATCAAGTTACATTGTGCTGTAGGAATGGAATTCTGATGCAAGTTGAGGAGGGTCCTGTATAATGTTATTTTGATGACAATTCAAAAATGTAAAGGTGTGTGTGAAGGAAAGAGCGCTCACTGCAGCACTGGAGTTCCCACAGCAGTCTAGGCCTACGGCAATGTAGCTTTAGCTAACTCTTTAAACCTATGTGGCCTCAGCATTATACCCAAATTCAGTGACTGAGATGTATCTTAATTTTTCAAAAATAAAGTTTGGCTCTACTCCATCTGTTCATTTTTGAGAGATTTGAGTTCAACTCTAATAATGGATTTGGACTCTGTGCAAGATTAATGTGACAAGTTTCATGTGTAAAATAAATAATTCCAAGAGTTACAACAAAACACGTTGGGATCCTAAGTGATTATTCTAATTCACAGAGCAGCTGCAAAACTGAATATGAGCCAAGGAAGCATTTTGGGATTATGTGGATTTAAAGTCCTGGATAACCGAAAACATGTCAGCAAAACAGAATCAGCTCAACGGAATGCCCTCTTGTAAAAGCTTAAGTAGTCTCCACTGATCGATACGCTGAGGTTGTTTTTGTCACAACAGGAGGCACAATTTTTGCCTCCTGTGAGTCTGTTGGGTTTTGAGGATTAAAAGAAAAGATGCTCGTACTTTTCTGTTGGATGAAATATTGCTCTGTTTTTCTTTCCGGGGGGTAAAGAAATCTGCTCACACTCACACTGCTGTTTGAATGTCGACAAAGCTGTTGGAAGAATGTGAGGTAAAATCACCAGGATATTGTAAGTCATGCCAACATGCACATGGTTCTCAGGGTAATGTCCTTCAGTGCCAGTTACAAAGGTGAAGTCAAAAACCTGCAGCTCTTTCATGCAGTATGTTGATGATTGATAGAAGCCCATAGGGAGTAGTACTGCGATGGGGCAGAGCCAACGGATTGCCCCTGTGTCTCCGGCGCAGATCTTATACAGACTGGAATACAAACAGCAAGTATAGAGAATAGAAAAATATCTCTCTTCATTTTTAAATCAGAGTTTTTGGTGTTAAATTACATAAGAGCTGTTTTCATCTGAAAGGTTGGAGAAAATGTACTATGGTACGCTTGAGTCCAAATACAAACAATAATTGCCACATCATATAACTATAACGTGCAAAACTGCCACGCTAGGCATAATCAGGATGCAAATGCTGCGACGTCAAATCTGTGAATCTGCTCAACCATAGAAAGGCTAACATTTGGTAATTTCCCTGGAAAGAGAGATGGCAGATCTTATAAACCGTAATTCTGCGATGTGTTCGGATGGCAGTAGCTGCATCTCGCTGCACACTCGGAAACTGTGACATTTGCTGCATGGGTCACAGAGCTGGCTGATTGGCTGCAGCCAACGAGAGCGTCGACTGAACAACAAGCAGTGCTGGTGCTGGATCGTTCGTAATGCAGTTTCAAGGATCTAGTTAAACAAACAAAAGCACACCGGTTATAAGCAGCCTGTTTTGCTAAAACAACAATACTGTAATAGTATACAACAGTACTAGTTAGTGCTACTGATTGATTTGTTGTAGAATTGGCAGAACTCAAGGGTCACTCCAAATACCTTGAAAGGAAATACGCCAAGTTATCCTTCAACTTTGTAGTGATTGGCGTTACCAGATTATTTTTATATGATACGATACCGATTACTTTTTTCCCAATTTTCTTCAAAACCAATACCATTTTTAATGGATACAAAATTGTTAACCGTATTACTATCAGCTAGTCTTTGTGTCAGTTGGGTAGTTCAGTAAAATTTGAAATGTCACACTCAACATGCGCGCATAACCATTCGATATTTAGGCTAGCTAAATATAATTAAAATAATCTAAAAATGTACATAGTTCTTGTTTTTTGGTAAATAATAAAAATCTCTTCCATGTAAATATTAAAGTATTGTAAATATTATACTGCATGTACACGTACCTGAACAGAACATTTCTGCAGTACCAGCGAGCAGCAAATATGCATCATTTTTAGCACTTTTTCTGTCACAAAAATGTAATGTAAATTGTATCTTGAATTTCTTTCCTAGGAGACACTTTTTTAAAATATAATGGCGGTTGACGTTACTAAAGTGGGGTTCTCTTTAAATCGAAATTAGATTAGCGATTAGATTAGATTAAACTGTATTGATTCCACACTGGACACTAACTGACACATTGCAGCAACAAAGGACAGAGGAGAAAACTAAATTAGAAAATGAATAAATAAATAAATTTTACACTGCTAAGGTAGACTAGATGAAAACTAGTTTTAATAAAAACAAAAGTGGCAATGAGGTTTTTATTATTAGAACATAATCTTTGTTCTAACGTGTGGTCACATCTAGCCTATGTCTAACAGTCTTGGAAAGTGGACATCATTTTGCAATAGTTTCTTGTTTTGTTTTGTTTTTGTCATGTACAAAAGAAGTGTTTGGGACTATTTCTTCAGAGCAGGGTTGTCAAACTCATTTTGGTTCAGGGGCCACATACAGCCTGATTAAATGTCAAGTGGCCTGGACCAGTACATTTATAACATAATTACCTATAAATAACAATAACTCTATGTTTTTCCCCTATTAGTATATTATAAAATATGCATATTGAATGAAATATCATTTGAGAAAACATCACAGACATTGTTTATTTTTAAATTTCATCAAGCGTATCATTTGAGAAAACATCACAGACATTAGGTGTTGTGTGTTTTTTTTTATTTTTAAATTCCATCAAGCAGATTAATTTAAATTGAACTCCCAGCGGGCCAATTTTGGCCCACAGGCCGTATGTTTGACACCCCTGCTTAAGAGGAATACAGGACATGGTGTGGCCCTAGCTCTTAGTCAACAATCGTCTTATCATAAACTTTTCTGCTCCTGTGGCTATACCGGCTTCTAAAACCTAACACCAAAAAAAATATACATATATATTGACACATATATTTTTTTTTTTTAGTAACTTGTTTTCTCCAGCAGGTCCCCGATGAGCACTTGAACATGGGCTGTTTTAATGGTTTGGTATACATCTAGAAAACCGAGGCCTATTATAACACACCTTTAGCCCTTGTGGGCTGACGTCATTGCAGCAAGATAAGGCTTCACATACAGCTCGATAATTCTCTAGGGTATTCAGTGATGTTATAGCTTTGTCGGTGCGAACGTGGAACAGAGGCTGAACGCGTGACCCTCTTCTTACTCACGTTCACTTATCTTTGTTTTGTGAAGCTTAAAATGATCATTAAGGCAAAGGGCCGAGTAAAACAGGTCTTTTTCTTTGTTTTGTTTTTCT